CTCCCCTCCCCTCCCTCCCCTCCCCCCCCTCCCCTCCCCTCGCCCTTCCCCTCCCCTCCCTCTCCTCCATTCAGCCTGTTTTCAATCCGCCTCACTGTCCAGTCATACAGTCCCCACTTCTTGAGTTTGCCTGCAAGGATGCTGTGAGAGACAGTGTAGAAAGCCTTGCTGAAGTTGAGGTAGACAATATCTACTGTTCTCCCCCTATCCATCCAGGTAACTGTTTCATCATAGAAGGTAACTGGGTTGGGCAAGCATGATTTACCTTTAGCGAATCCAAGCTGACTATTCCTTATCACCTGCTCATCATCCATGTGGATAGACACGGCCTCCAGAATGAGGCACTCCATTCAGGGGTTAAGCTGAAGCTGACTGGATGGTAATTCCCTGGGTCCTCCTTCTTGCCCTTTCTGAAGACTGGGGTGACATTTGCTTTCTTCCAGTCCTCAGAGATTAACGACCTTGCTATAGTGTCCGTCAGCTCTCTCATAACTGATGGATGCATCCTCTAAGGGCCCACGGACTTGCGCACATCAGGTTTGCCTAGGTGTTCCTTAACCCAATCCTCCTCGTCCAAGGGAAAGTCTTCCTTCCGGCATTCCTTTACCCTGGTCTCCTGGCTCAGAGATTCTTGAGGGCTGGTCTTACCACTGAAGACAGATGAAGAGGCAGAGTTCAGTAACTCTGCCTTCTCTGTGTCCTCTGTTACCAGGGTCCCCCCTCCATTTAGTAATGGGCCCATATTATCCTTTGTTTTCCTTTTGTTATTGATGTATTTGAAGAAGTCCTTCTTGTTGTCCTGGACATCCTTGGCCAGATTTAATTCCAGATGAGCCTTGGCCCTCATCTCATTCCTACTTACTCTGACAATGTCTCTTTATATCATTCCAAGTGGCCTGATTCTCCTTTCATCTTCCGTGTATTTCCTGCTTACACTTGAGTAATGACAGGTGGTCTTTTTCATCCATGCAGGTCTCTTGTTCCCTTTGCCCAATTTCTTGCTCTTTGGTTCTTGAGCCTGAAGGAAGTAATCCTGGAATACAAACCAAGTCTCTTGGACCCCTCTTCCCTGCAGGGCCTGTTCCCATGGGATTCTTCTTAGAAGATCTCTCAAGATGCTAAAGTTAGCTCTCCTGAAGTCCATGGCTACAATCTTACTTGCTGCCCTGCTTCCTAACACTGAACTTCACAATCTCCTGGTCAAGGCTGCCTCCAGCCTTCACATATCCAAAGACATAATACCAAGTCATGAAGGCTTGCTTAGAACATAGAATTTGCCAAGTCTGAAGATCTGAAATACATCTTGGTGTAAAAATCACATAAATATAAATTAAATAAATGTTTATAAATATTTTTATAAAAATTATTTTAAAACCTGCAACATTATATAAAAGCTACTGTAAAATATTATTTCCCCAAATGGCTCCATATTCATAAGGATTTTTTCAGATACTTAAAAGTACTTTGTCTGCTCTGAAAAATTTGAATACTAAAGAAAAGAAACAGCTGATTTTACATTATTTTTGCTATATACATTTTGAATTTCAAAGACCATGTTTCTCTCTCATTACTCTACCCCCAAGTCCAATATTGCAAGGACTAGTGAAGTGGGCTGACCTGCTATTAAATTACAGAAAGCCACATCTAAAGCTTCTCATCAAAGAGAAGTTTTCTCAATGCTTAAAAGTAGCACTTTTAAGACACTTAAATGAATGGTAGATGGTAAAATATGAAACAAGAATAGACCCAGATAATGGTAGTAGAAGTTATTTTATAGAAGGAGCCTTTTATCCTTGGGAATAATCTCTATTGCTGAAAGTCCTACCCACAACAGTAGCTCTAGTGATCTCTGAGGTCTTTGCCAGTCCTCACTGTAGCATTCAGAACTCAAACAGACTAACAGAGCTAAATATGCATAGCTGTAAGTCCTGTCTTCAGTATTCCTCAGGACTAATGAACCTGTGAGTAAAAGGGAGGCTGCAAACAAATGCATCCCATAAATGCTGTCCCACAAAACTGGTTGGAGAAAAAAGTATTATCACAAATAGAGACAGAACTTTCTTTTCCAATAATTTTCCATACACATATTCCACATAAGAAGAAAAGTTACTCTAAAAACAAAAGTTTTTTCCTCCTATGCATTTGAGTTGAGTACAAAAAGAAGGCAAAAGTTATTTCTATCTTTGTGGCAAATGAACTAGTTCGATGAAGGGCATAAAATAAAGATTAACTACGAGTACCTGAGAATGAAAAGGTACAGAAGAAGGAGAATAAATCAGTAAGGTAGTGTGATCAATTATGACTGCTCTAGGACTGACTTTCAGGTTACAATTTTCTATTAATATTTTGAATCATACAGAACAGGGATGAAAACTATTTTCTTGAACTGCTTGAAATATAAAGCATTTATCTCTTTGAAATTTATGTCATGTAACTGTAAATGTAAAACTTACCAAAATCAGTGCTAGAGAACTACCAGTTATTTCAGCCTGATTTCAAATTCTGCTTTTGAGGTCCTGTATACTAGAAAATTATATACTGTAAAAAAAGACAGTGTTTATCTTCATGTTACACTCAATGGTCCTTTATATTAAATGCTAGTTGTCCAAAAGTTTCTATTTGGTTCAGAGTATAACACAGAAAAAGCAAATATTGCCACGAAGCCACAGTTGAATTCCTCGTTCGCATTAGAGTTTGACAACAGGATCATATGAGGACTGAAGATAACACTTTCAGAAAGGGACCTCGGGGAGGTCTTGTAAAGGACACAGAAAACAAAAGATTGGATCCTTAAAATTTAGTTTTCAGAGTCTTCAGTGAGAAAACTTAAGAAAAATAAGGAAATAGCGTTAACAATGTTTTCCAGGAAAGGTCAGCTTGGCAGGACTGCCCACACTTATCTATCAATAGTATGAGGTGGGAGAAATTCCTTCTGAATGGGTGTCATACCTAGAGTCACATAATATTTTGCAACTCCAAACTAAATTAACACTGATTTGTATTTTAAATTTCCTTACTTTTACATATTAACTCCATGTCTGCGACCTGGAAAAACTGTCTCTGCCATAGCGCTGGGAATCACTTCTTTCCAGACTCTACCACTGAGTGATCATTACTGGTGATGAAATACAACCAAGGAACCTGGGGTCGTTTTGTATGCAGTGGCTGCATATCCCACATATGCCTTCTCTGCAGAATCTATTACTTTCCAGAATTTCTTTCAAAATTCAACTCCTCACAACTATGAGAGCTTGTCTCCTGCTCCGTCTTCTACCAGGAAATACTATTTAGGGTACCCATAAAATATAGGAATAAAATCCATCCAAATCAACCCAAACCTTGATATTAAAAAGAAAGAGGCAGACTTGAGTTGTTTGGGGCGGGTTTTTGTACTGCTTTAGTTTGGTGTTTGGGGGTGTCTAGGGATTTTTATTTTTTTTTTTTTTGCTTTATTTTGGATGTTGATTAATACATACACATTATTGATACAATATTTTGGCAGACACAACCAGCTAGTGTTGATTCAATCAAAAAGTAACCTAGGACTACATAGGATAGAATTTCGATTCTTTTTCTATGAAAGTTCATACACAAGGTATTTAAACACCACTGAGTCCATAGCAATTATGTACAATCATATGCACAGACACCATATAGTGCAGTCACAAGATATTTACTATGACTCTTGCGATTAGTTTGCATACAACTTATCTGCATTACCAGTAATATCTGGTAAAAAAAAAATAAAATGAAAAAGCTGTGCTTTTTCATGTTCCTCAGTGAAGTAGAAAGCATATGCAAAGCTGATGGAGGAGGCTTATACTTATCTCAGCAAACCAACCAGAAATGGACATGCCTTTCACAGACCAACCTTTTCGAACATTCTAAAGAGCAAGTCATGTTTCACAGTGTTCCATGGAGAACCTTTGAAAACAGCACACAATGTTTCTAACTACTAAAAGCTATTTCAAATTATTGTGTGTGTTATATTAAACAATTCATATAAATATTTACTGTGGTAGGAATGAAACATGTTCATGTGTTATATAGGTAGACTCTCTCTCTAACATACTCACATATACATTCATGGATACCCACTATATACTTTTTTGGTTTCTAATTCTTAGTAGAGTATCACAAACTCAACTGATGTCCCCAAGTGTCAGATTTTAAGTTCACATGACACAGCAAGAAGACAGAAAAACTCTCCCTTGGCCCCCTCTGAGGAGGGTGCTACTCTAGGAAATACTAGTAGAGTTTATGAAATTTATTTTACTCAGCAAAATTAAGAATGGGTATCCTAAATTCAAGAAGAATACCTTTTATATGAGGAAATAAAATACACTACTTAGGGATGCTGATAACCCAGACACTCCTGCTGTATTGCTGATGCAAAATGCCACCAGTTCATCTAGTGACATTACCAAATGATCATACAGAAGAGTCCTCTATAGTTTAGAGGCAACACATGCTTTGAAAAAGCAGCATAACTGAATTTTGTGAGGAAAAAAAGCACCACATACATGCTGGCACTGATTAAGCCCCATCTGTGTCTGCAAGAGAGTTACAGTGGAATAAGTGACTGTTAAGTGTTCTCTTATTCAGCTCAGTGCCCTTGAACAGACATCCTGTCTGATACACAAATGAAGAAGACTCTGGTGTATTAGTTTACTCTTAAAATGCTTGGGAAATAGTCTTCTTTTTCTCTCTCAATTTAATAACCTAACAATATTTGGAGGAAGAATGCTGTAATTTTGGTATTTATAGACATTTTTGCTCCTGTTAAGGTTATGAACGTTATAATAAAGAATATATAGCCCTGGCCAAAAAAAGTGGTTTTTACAGGTAAGAATAGAGGTGTGCACAAAAGACCCAACAACTGATAATTACACGTATTTCTATTACCCAATAAAATCTCTTGCACTCCAATACAATAAAGTGATCTCTGCAGAAGACATTAAAGTGCGCGGTCGAAAGCACAGAGATAGAGAAGCACTTACATTTGCACTGTGATCACTTCCACTAACACAGACGACATCTTGTTTTTGAATTGTTAATACCTCTTTTGTAAGCTTCAGTCGGATGTCATAAGCATTTTCAGATACTTCATCATACAACAATGCAATACCAGTTTTAGTCTGCAAAAAAGCAAGACATACACAAAAATTTAAGAATACGAACATTTCATAATGATGAATAACAAGCTCTACCCCATTAAAGAGATAAAAAGCATACAAATGAGCATTATTTACAGAAGTGGAAAACTAGTCTGCTTTCCAGTCTTCAAATGGATTAGACATAAAAAAGCTTCTTTTGTACTTGAAAATAAAGGGTAAATGGTCTTTGAAGTAGACATTAATATGCAAAAACTAAAAAAAAAATTACAAAAATTTCTCCATTGTACTGTTCCACAAAGGAGTGCTGCCATTTAATGATCTCCTATTTGGTTTTCATTGTACAAAGACTTATGAAACTATATTAGAAACAGATAGGTACGTATAAATGGCATGTGAACTCATTTTACAGTTTCAGCCAGAAGTGGCAAAGTTAAATGTTGTTCCTGACTTCAAGATGTTCCTTCCACTGTGTCAGAAAATTAACTGTACCCTTCATAAGCATTGCCATTAAGATACAGGGTTCTGTTAGAGTAGAAAACTGTTTTCACATTGTAAAACACATGATTAAGTACAGTTGTTACATTATTTTTTTTTAGATTAAGATGGACTTGCATTACTTAAGTTCATCACTAGACTAATAACTAGTAAAACCTATAGGATAGTCAAGTATTTGGTATAAATGATGTTTTCTCTGGGAATAGCACAAAAGAAATTCTATTTTAATTTCTCGTTTATTTACTTACATTTCCCACTAATATTCAGTGCAAATTTCCTGCTAATATTCAGTCAGATATTTCCTTAAACAAAAACTGTACCATTAGGACTGCTTACAGCTATTTGTTAAAATATTCAGACTAATGAAATTTCAGAATTTTCCAGTCACTGCACGGAAGAGAAAAAGCAAAACACCTGTTCTAAAATGAGTGATCATATTTAAAACTATTAATTTAAAATTTATATAACAGCATCACCACAACAATGCACTTTATGCAAGTGAAGAAAAATCAAGCATAATTTAAGTTTTAGTTGCAGCATTTGTTTTTAAAAGAAGATTTAAAATCAGGTTGTTTACTAACAGTTTGTTAAATAGTAGATTGTGTAAAGAACTGAATAATGGAAAAATAAAAGAAGAAACATGTCCTGTGCACTGAATGAAAACTTAAGGGATTTTAAAATAAAATTAAACATAAAATATTAGCTTCATATTAATATTTTTATTTCTGCAAAATTAGGGAGAAACACCTATGTCGTTTGTCAGTAAAACCTTTTTGTCTTTAAAGGCAGGCTCAGCTTAAAACTAAGGCACTCAGATTTGGCGTGGTTCTATGCAGCAACTGAGTGTCAAAAACTCCTTTATAGAAGAAACAGAAAATGCAGTTGAGAGAGCAATTAAATTTATCCTGAATTATATACACAGCAGTTGCTCAGGTGAATTGGTCATGTAGTTCATCTTTCTGGGCTCAAAGCAGTCATCCTCATGTAGGTCGCTTGATATCCTATGACCTCTGAACATGTAAAGCTGACATGGGCTTCTTAGCATATCCAGGTCCTTTTCTGGCTGGAGGCAAGACCAGATTTCCATGTTTATACTGTGACACAAATACTGGTCATGCCAGCAGACACCCATATGTAGGTATCTTCAGCTTGTAGTGGATCTCACCAGTTTACAGTGCAAAAATCATAGAATGGCTTGGGTTGGAAGAGATCTTAAAGACCATCAACTTCTAACCCACCTGTCATGTACAGGGATATCTTCCACTGGATCAGGTTGCCTAAAGCCCCCTCCAACCTGGCCTGCCTTGTTCTATCACTACATACCCTTATAAAAAGTTCTTCTTTGGCTTTCTTGAAAGCCTCCTTTAGGTACTGGGAGGCTGCTATAAGGTCTTCCTGGAGTCTTTTCTTTCCCAGGCTGAAAATCTCCAATTCTCTCAGCTTATGTTTGTAAGAGAAATACAAATCTAGGACAGCTGTTTAGATTTTGTCAAACCAGTGGTGAGCAAGAGACAACTCTGAAGCATGATTCTACCCCATCTCTTTCATACATCCATCCAGAAAGGAACAAAGTGAATCGTTGCTCTCTATTTTGACTTAAAAAATAAATATAAATAAGAACTCAGATAAGTGTCTAATTGTGGGCAGACAAATCTTGTCCTTACTGTTTTCTAGGAAAGCCTAAAGGAATCAAAGTTCAGTGAGGGTATAAAGTCTTAATCATTCTCATTTGTTTGGAAGCCAACATTTCTGTATTTTCCCAAGATTTTGAAATTTTTTACATTTTTGGCATGTGTGGATGCTTTATCAATACATTTTTGTGAATGACAACATATGAAAACCACACCAATATCATCCACTTAAAAGCCATACTGCCCAACAGTAAGTATTTTCAAAGAGTAGAGCTACAGCATTGAAAAACCACTGTCCCTGAATTCTGCTGCTGTTCAGAGATTCTACATCACTATCCCACCGGGACTGGCAACCGCAGTTACTTTTGCTGATGTACCAGAGCATGCTTTATAGAAACACTGAAAGAACAGAGCTCTGGAGAGCTCTTTAACCCAGAACTCTTCTCTGGCTAGTAATTGTTACATATGTTTAGAAGAAACACAATGAAAAAAACTCTGAACTTTCATTTGTAACAGATGATCAGGTAATGAATGAAATATGCAGAGTGACAGATTAAATAGTTTAGCATTTTCCATCGCACTATTTCAACTGGAAGTCTCACTGAAGCTCATCTATTCCTATTAAAATCCAATACCTATCTAATATTCCATCTAACTCGTGATGTGATACAAGATGATGTGCAGCAATACCTTATTTGCTTTCAGAATCAATAAGATTAATCTAGATTTCTCTCAGCCTTTCAAGTTGGCTTTTTTTAGACCATTTTAAATGGCTTTGAATCAAAGTTCAGCACATTCCCTTGTTCTCTCCTTGTGTTAAAGATATGGCATACATAGCCCTAGCGGCAAAATTCCAGTCCAGACAAAGTGCTTCTTCAAACAAGAATCTTTTAATGAGAACTTAGCCTTTGCAAGTATATGTATATCCAGCATTTTAACTAAGCAACGTTCATCTTGATTTCTTATTTAAAAACTGTCTATTCAGTAGCCGTTCTAGTAACTGGTATCAGAAACTGAGGACTGAAAAGTCAAAATAACTCCCCAAAATTATGTAGTATTGTTAGAGATCATATACCAAATGTGTTTTGTAATAAAAAGCGTGAGGAAAGTGTAGAGGGAGTTGCATATCCATAGGATTTCAGTGCTTGCATTGAGAGGTAGGGGAAATATAAATTTTAATTCATTCGGGCACATGAGGAAATTAAATCTTGACTTTCATATCTCTGAGAGTTTTCTAGACATTGGCTTCAGGCAGAGGAGTGTGTGGGTGTGCATGTGCACATTCACTATGTGGTGGGAGGAAGAGAAAAGGACATGAGCAGCGCAAGCATCACAGTAGCTGTGACTTTTAAGAAAGCTTAGACTACTCTGTTTTTGAATGAAAGAAAACACACTGAAACGTACTTTCTCAACACAGCTCAAAACCTGTCAATACCACAGAGAAGAAAACATTCCTCTCTAGGGGGAGCTAGAATGGCAGATGAATCCTTTTATCAGTTTTATTGTTGACTACTTAAGCAGGTCCCTAGCCAGTGTACTTGCTTTAAAGCACTCCCTGTTCAGCATAATGTTTTGAGACCCATAACTCTTCCAATGTGCTGCATCTGCAGCCTAAAGCTCACAGCTGCAAATTCTGCTTCCAAGCAGGCATCTCCAAGCCACACTTCAGTCTTACTAGCACAAAATACTTGTCTTCAGTACTGTAAGCTTTATTTTGAAAGAGCTTGCTAAAAAATAAGGTAGAGTTTAAAAGTGGTGTTGAGGTGTACTGAGCTTCCTATAGAAACTGTTCACTTGCTTATGTCCATTTTTTTCTCTAACGCATTATAGCAATACTTGTCACACTTTTCATGATAGTAACTGTTTGAAGAGAGACAAAAAAGATTCTTACTTATATCATTGGGGAATTCAGATGAGATTCATAATAAACCCCTATTTATTCAAAAGAAAATAAAAAAGATATTGTATGCATTCAGAGCAGATGTCAGAGTACAAGCAGTGCAGTGGTATTATTTTGATTTAAACTGTGAACTGTGAACTCAGTAACTCCAAATGTCTCTCTCATGCCCTCTGCCCAAGTGTATTTTAGCAATTGTGATCATTAGCTTTGTGAACTAAACGAAGCATTAGTCTTAGACCCTCATAAAAATGGATCATCTGGAATTTCCCCTGCTTTACCTAAAAAAATCCTCTGCATGGAGTTACATTGGATCTCCAGAAAAAAATCACCATTTGCTGATCTTCATCCTTAATAAATACATGCTTCAAAGGTACTGCAGTTCAATTTTTATCTGCTAAATTTAATTTATAAATTACCTTAACTTGTAAATAATGTATGGCCAGTCTTTGCGAGCGAAGATTTGGGAAAGGTCTTTACCCTTCGAGCCTGCGCAGTGGATTTTTTAGGTGAGACACAGTGTGCGCTGAACTGAGCCCACCCTTTTAATCCCAAGGTTCATCCGCCAGGGTCGAGTGAGCTCGGACAGTGGCAGTGAGGTCCTCAGGACGTAGGTTTGTTTGGAGTGACCTTCTCTTAGATGGATGGCCTTACAGGGTTGATGAGCTCCACCTGCCCGGGGGAGTTTCCCTGACCGGGAATCGAACCTGGACTGCAGCAGTGAGAGTGCTGCATCCTAACCACTAGACCATCAGGGGGCCCCCCAACTTGTAAATAAAATTCTATAAGAACTACATTTGAAAGTTTTTTTTTCCCCCACTGAACCACCACATTATATTTCCAGACTAGTATTTTACCAGCAACATTTACATCTCATAGGTCTAGTGATAAAATTCTCTAATCCAATTTCATTTTTTAAAATTAAACTACCTCTGTTGAAATTCTGTATCTGTAGTACACTGATGGTTTAAACACTTGCTGAAGACACATGAGAACTG